TTTTTGAAAAAAAAAAAAAAAAAAAAATTATTTAAATAAAGTTCGTTAACCCTGTCTTCCCTTCCCAAAATGATATTTAAAAAGAGGGGCAATGAGCCTAGTTTAGAAATTCTCTGGATGGCAAACAGCCCGTGCTCACGGTGGCCCCCTGTCCCACCAGCCTCAGGCTGGGCAGCCGCTCCCTCAGAGCCGTTCAGAGGTCCCTGTCGGAGGCCAGATCCCCCAGGGCGGGAGCTATCTGGCTGTTCAGTTAGACAGGCTATCTATCTGTACCCCTTCTGGCCTAACAGGCTCCCTCTCTTCATGTGGGCCCACTGGGGAGGCCCCCGCGGGGTAAGCGGGGGACCCCGGGCCCTGCTGTCAGATGGCGCTCTCGTGGGAGGCTTTGTGCAGCAAGGAGTTACGCTCGTTGAGAAGAGTCGTGGTCTCGTCCACCACGGGCAGGTCGGACTTCTCAGTAAAGTTCTCCGAGCAGATGGTGCACCCATCTACGGGAAACTGAGGGCTGTTCTCCATGCACGAGGCCAGGAGTCCGTTCTGGTACTGCTGCCGAGTGATCTGCAGGAGGAGGGGATGAGTTCATGGAGAGTGAGTGGGGAGGCAGGCAGGCTCTGTCACCAGACCTGGGACCTGGGACTGGGACTGAGGCTGCAGGTCAGGAAGAAAGGACACCGGGACCAGCAGATGGCATAATAGTTACATTGCTGGACTCCCACATAGTCAACTGCGGTTCGAGTCCCGGACCCTGGAGCTTAAACTCACGCTGGGCGTGTGTGTATGCATACCCAAAATCCTGAGAGGAGCATGGAGGAGATGGATTGCGGCACGGCCATGCCCCCTGGAGGATGGTTTCTCACTTTGCCTCTCTCTGTCTCTTTCTGTGTCTCCGGCAAGTGCACATACCCTATAGCAAAAGTCTCTCTCCAAAAACAGAGAAAAGGAGACACAACTATGTGGTCTCTGGAAACCCCCATAAAGAACCAAGAACAAGGAGAAACAGCATCTCAGGTATGGGCCCTCCACTCTGGGTTTGGTGGATGAAAAGAAGAAGCTGCAGGGGCCAAATGGTGGCACAGCCCTCAAGCAGAACATTCTGCAAGGGTGGCCCACATGGGAAGGCTCCAGGTTTGCATCCAGAAAGCTCTGTGAGTACTCCAGGCATACACATACCTGACAGGGAACTGGCTGAAGCTGGGGGTGGGTCATGGCGTTAAGACCTCATTAGGGGCCAGCTCCATGGCACAGTGGTAACACCCTGTGGCTGGAGAGAAGCCTGATTGCACAAGGCAACCACAGTTCAAATCCCAGGTCCAGTCAGCTCAAAACATGTCGGCATATGCACAAATGCCCAGGATCCAACAGGTCGGAGGACAGGAGGAAGGGGACTGTGGCATGACCAGACCCTGTGAAGGGAACTTGTCTCTCTCTGTTTTACATCCACACACTCTATCATGAATAAAGGGGAAAAACTTATTTGAAATAAGGGCCAACTCTGTGGGCTAATGGTTAAGGTGGCCAGATCACACATGGCCAACCATGCAGTTCAAGTCCCAGACACACTGGCTTAAGAAACACACTGAAGGGCCGGCAGGTGGCGTGGTGGTTAAGGGCACTGGACTCCCACATGGCTGACCACGGTTCGAGTCCTGGACCTGGTGGCTTGCTTTCTCCCGCTCCCTCTCTTGCTCTCTCACTCACACACACGCTGTCCCTCTCTGGTCAAATTAAAATAAATAAGTAAAGTTAAATAAAATAAATCTTTTTTTTTTTTTAAAGAAAGAAACACACTGAGCATGTATGCATATGTCCCCAAAATCCCCAAAGGAGGGTAGGGCTGGAGAAGGGACTGCAGCGTGACCATTTCCCACAGCGTGCTTTCTCACTCTCTCTCTCTAACAGGTTCATGGGGCCTCTAGCAAAAAAATAAAAATTAAATTAAAAAGGCCCTGTTGTCTGTCTCTCAGCCTCATCTCTCTCTCTCTCTCTGTGTCTCACTCATAGAAGAAAAACATAAACTTTAAAAAATAGAAAGACAAGACACAGGCGTGGCCGATGGCTGAGCAGAGTGAGCCAAACGCTCCGACAAGGACGAGGGCGCTGCCCGGGAGGCGGAGGTAGGTGCTCACCTTGATGTACTGCAGGTCCATGAGGGCCCGGACGCTGAAGTCGGAGACGTACTGGCCCAGGACAGAGCTGCCGAACTGGTTGCTGCTGCCTGCCAAGGGCGAGGGCGCCGAGATGTCCGTGCGGTCTGGGTAACTGAGGGAGGCCGAGCGACTCAGGGGCGTGGCGTGGGCGGGCGAGCGGTCTGTGGGAGAGCAGAGCCGTCAGACTGGAGCCACCCATGGGAGCCCAGGGACGCAGCGACACCCCCACTACCGGCCCCGGGAATATGAAGCCATTCTTAGGGACAGACAGAGCACCAGAAGCTCTAACCCTGACCTTGTCAAAGCAAACGAGTTCGTTTTAGAAGTGCTGGGCAATCAATATTAAGGTTCACCAAACCAAACAGAGCAGACATTAAAAGCCAAAGACGCAGAAGTTGATGGCTAGGAACTCATTTCCCTAGCACCCACACTAGTCCCTGCCTAGCCACGATTCTGCTTTCCATGCTGTGATCTGAAACAGCAAATAAAAAATTTCAGAAGCGAACCATTCCTAAGTTTTACGCTGCGTGCCATTCTCAGCGTGATGGAATCTGCCTGTCCCTCCAGCTCCGTCCTACCCAGGACGTGAGTCATCCCTCTGCCCAGTGCATCTGGGTATGTCTACACTACCTGTCCCTTAGTCACTGAGGAGTCACATCTCAGCTTCTCAAACTGAAAAAAATACAGCATGGGGCCAGCAGGTGGCACCGTAGTTAAAGCACTAGACTCCCACATGGCTGACATGGTTTGAGTCCCAGACCTGGCGGCTTGCTTTCTCATTTTTCTTTCTGTTTCTCTCTGGTGAGCACACGTGCACTGTAGCACATTTAAAAATAATAGTGATAAAATAAACAATTCTTTTTAAAAGAAAGAAAGAAAGAAATACAGCATATCTCAGGTTGGGTCCTATTGGAGCTTCCAAGTATCCATTGTGGGTCTTGGAACACGTGCCCGTGGGTGAGAAGGAACGACTGTGATGGGTCACGGGAAACGGAGCGATGGTCCGAGCGTACAGGCCGGCTGCTACCTAACTGTATATACTATTAAATAACAAGCAGACTTTAAAAAGTGTATTCAATTTTATTTTTCATTATTATCTTTTGTTTTAATTTGTTACAGAGAACATGTGTTCACCAGAAAGAGACAGACAGAGAGAGAGGGAACGTGAGAAAACAAGCCACTAGGTCCGGGACTCAAAGTACGGTCAGCCATGTGGGAGTCCAGTACCTTTAGCACCATGCCACGTGCCGGCCCC